GTTCGATTTTGAACAATGTGTAATAGTAAAAAGTCATTCCCTATCTCTAATTATTTCAATCTAAACTAATTTCAATCTGCCCTTAATTTGTATTGATTTTATGATTGTACGGCAAGTGTTGAAATGTCTTTCAGCTTTGGGTTACATCAAGAACAAGTTTACAAATCGAATATGCGATAAGTTCCCGAATGATTGTCTAGTAGGGTGTATAGAGAATTTTTTTTAACACTATAAACACCAAGTGTATTCTACAATTATTTTTGAATATGAAAACACACCATGGACTTTTTTAACATGTACGAGTAAGCTATTTTCATATTTACGATTTTATTTTTATTAATTATAATTATTTATTTTTAATTTATTTTTTAAAAGAGGACACCCCTATGGAAAATTTCTGGGTCCGCCACTGATCATGTATCCCTATATATCTGACTGGAGTTACTTTGGAGCTGACATTGAAAGAGATGCACAAAGACAAGTTTTATGTGATTAGATGAGTTGCTTCGAACATAGATACGGTCTAAAGTAAAAGTTAAGAAGGATTATTTGACAACAGTTGATTGTGAGTCATATGGACCTATAAAGTTTACCTTTTGTGAGCGGTTCCTTGTACTGATATCTAAACTTGGACTTCCCCCTTTGACGAGCTCTACAGAAGCCATATGAAAAAAAGGGTGACCAAACAACTAATTATAACTCTAGAACATTCAAGAATTGATAAAGAAAAGGGTTTCTTTGCTTCCTATATCAGCATAAACAAACACCTGATAATTGCAAGATATCATCCACTCTATGGAACAAAGTCCGCATAGCAGAAAGCCAAAAACCATAAAGTTAATGAGACCCCATTCCAATGTTATGCAGTAAAAATCAGGCTGGTAGGTTCCTGGATCATGATACGACTAGGTCAACCAGCCGACTCGAGCCTGATCCAAAATAGTTTTCATAAAATGCATTTGGTTTAACTCATTAGAAGGAAGGTTTTATTCATGAAATTATAACTAATGAGGCATTTAGGGAGCTGAGACCATGGTTCCAACGCCTACAGGGGATTTGCTCCCAACCCCTGAAAAGGCAAAACCATTGGGAGACCATGAGATTATTATTATTATTATTATTATTATTATTATTATTGCATAGGGTTAACTAATAGAAATTTACTAATTACCAAAAGCAACAGCAGCATAACCTCAACAAAGTATTTAGAGTAGTTTGATTGTAAGTGCATAGAAATTTAAGCTCCTTAATCACTGAAAGGATGAGACAAATGAGCAATAATTGATTAGCAAGATACTTACCAGAATCTCTTCAGGATTCTTATGCCGGTGAGAGTGCTACTTTAATGTTTTCAGAATCTCGTCAGGTATAAGGTATGAGATTTCTTCGAGAACTCTAGCAAGTGTTGTTCTTGTTTTATCAATGGTTTTATCGGCACAATCTCTACTGGTGTGCCAAGTGGCAGTTCTTCCTACCCCGTTTTCTATCAAATTCCTAACTTTGTATAGATTCTTCTATATCCCAACAACCTAAGAATTCTACAGTAACCCCTATGAACATCAAACATGGCACTACTGAATGTGTGATCCAACATATATCTAAATTACCTTCCTGATCAATAGGTAAGTCCCCAATTGGAGTTTTGTAAACTGTCGCAGTTGACAAAGCACAGTTGGGAGTATAATAGTGATTAGATGAACCAAGAAGGAATACCCGAGAACTGAAACAACAAACAAGCACCCAGTTATCAGCATCAAACTATCAGAGTCTTAAGATTCAACTTCCCAACAAGAAAGCAACCAAACCAATCTTACCAGAATAGCATTCACTTGCTGTATGCTACGAAATGTGCCCATTGAAATGAAGATACTAAGTAAGAAGAAGGGCAACACACTTGTAAGTAGGGTCGATATTTCCAAATGCACAAGCGGCTGTGCGGCCAGAATACCAGTAACCTGCGTGCCTGTGAGAGCCAGACCCATAGAATTCAAGGAAAATTGGCCAACCCAAAGGGACAATTGAAAAGGAAAGGTTGAAGAATAAACATACGGAGCAATGACTCCACGAACATCAGATGACTTTGGCAGTCCAGCAGCATTCAGCCACCCATCAAGTTCTTCTTTGAGCTTCCTAGTTGCGGATGGAACAACGAAAACAATATCACAATTCGTCAATTACTGCCCTGCGTTAAGGGAGCTGGGGTGACATAAAATTACAAATTTTACGGCTTTCCAAGAGTTCGGACATCGACATTTCCTTGCTCGATCAACAGAAACGAAACCCTCCATAGCAACATGATAACAGTTCGATTAAGCTTCCACATTCAAGTTCCCCCTAAACCCCTAAATTCAACCTTTAGCTCCGCAGATTGCAGAGTTGGACCACAAAGCGATTTACCTCCAATACATTGACAGACTGCTAGCACTCAACCTCTAAAGTTTATAATGAAACATGATAATGTATTACCGATCCGTTAATCTTTCTATAGATGTCAAACAGACAGAGCACCGTGATGCAGTAAACCAATTATGAATCAAAACGCATGTATGGGTGAAATGATGGCATTACCTGCCTACAGAGTAGCTGCATTTATGCTGTCATTATCAGTCCTAATGTTTAAGTTAGTGAAGTCCCCATTAACAAGGCAGCTAACGTGGAATTTCATGAATATGGCTTCAAGGAATTTGATTACTAGAAGATGCTAACATGGAATTGAAGTATTTTTACCTAAAATTCCTCCGATTGTATGTACGTGTTGAGCTTCAAGCCCTCATTAGCGAGCACTGTATTACACAGAAAACTTTATTCAACCACCGACTACCAAACCCTAATTCGAGTATTACAATCTCAACCGCGAGATCAAATAGAACTACTCTCGGAAGAGGAAACTCGAATTAAAGGGAAACGAAAGCAAAGAGGCAAGAAATTCACCGAGCGAAGACTTTTATGTCAAAGCCAGCCATCTAAAAAGCCAGAGGCAAGATCTGTGAAACTCACTTCGAAGGCAGAGCGAGCTCTTCCTTGTGGAGCCGTGAAAGAGCGGGTAAGGTCCTTAAGCCTCATTGTTTAAGGAGATTCTTAAACCATTTTTGTTGGTTGATAGTAGATTAGGAAGTTAAATAGGAATTAGTAGTTAATTAATAGGTAGTTGAGAATAAATAAAATATTATAAAATATAATTAATATTACTTATTAATGATTCTCTTTCTCTCTCTCCCTTGATCTTCTCCATAACCTTCTCTCTCCACTATAATTAAAAGAAAATTCGAAATTTATTTAATTAAATATTATTATTTAATATTTAATAAAATTTGAACTTAATATTTTTATTTTTTAAACATAGAAATTGAAATAAAAAATATATGAATACTCTCACTTCATGGCAATTTACAATGCAGTATTAACGTTTTGCAATGACATTATCAACATTTATGAAATTAATCAATATTACTATACCTCATCATTGTTAACGATTTCGATATATCTATTAATTTTTTACAATTATATTATTGGATCAATTTTTACTGTTTCATAGTTTCGTCAGTAACATTTATGAATGAATCATTAAAGTTATGTAACATGGTCATTAACAGTTTGATTTACAATTGATTTACAACATCTTTACTAACGATCAAATTTTCACATTATGTTTATAACTATCTAGTCATGGCCTTTTCCAATGATTTCTAATGATATTATTAACGTTTTGCGATAATATTGTTTTACATTATCATTCTCAATGATCATAAAGCACAATACTGATTTTTAACATCTTGGACACTTGTGACATAGTGCGTCTGTGTGGTTTAGACAAACAAACATTAGTAAAGAAAAATATTAGTTCAAGCAAACCAACATTCATGCCTCAATGCCAAACTTTTAATAACAATACAATAAATCATTGATAGCGAAAAGTATTTGGTTGAAAATAAACACAAAATACCAATATAATAATGTTCAACTTCAATATTACAAAGTTTAATCAAGCTTTTAATAATGATATTAAAAACCATTAATAACAAATGGACAAGTCATTGATAAAGAAATAGGATTTTGTTGATAATAAAAAAAACATTAATAACTAACATGTGTTTAATGGACAATGCAACCAAAAATTTTGATAATGATAGCAACTAATGGTTGTTAAGTACCTTACTAGATATTATTAATATCTTGGTTTTTCAAACTTTGATAATGCTTATACACACCCTTAAATAATGACACCAACTATGTTACTAATTTAGACTGAAAGGTTAATAACCATAGTTATATCATTAAACACAAATTCACTTTTTCTAATATCATAAACAGACGAATACCTCACTAGTATGCTTCTTGATAATGACATTTGATAAAGTTACAACCATAAACGAAAAATATTAATAATACAAATCGTTGACTGAAAATGAACTGTTTTATTGTCAAATAAAAACAAATCACTAAATATAACCAATGTTACAAATGAAATAAATTGTTGCTAATGGTTGTATTGTGCTCGAAAAAAAAAGGATAATAGCACTTCAAATGATTATAAATCATTGCGAACTGATAATACAATATAATTGTGAATGAACAATTGAAAGCATAATTTCACCTTTTCTAAAGTTACAAATAAACCAAAAAATAAAAAATTTAATAATGCCATATAATATTAAAAAGCCTCTCGAACAACGTTAATAATAACACAAACGAATAACTAACAACGAAAAACCCTAAACCCATACAACAAAAAGTCCCAATGATGATTCATTTTATAAACGTTGTTAATGTCTTTACAAAATGTTAATATTACATTGCAAGTTGTCACGATGTGAGAGAACACATATATTTTAAAATTTAAATTTCCATTTTAAAAAGGAAAAATATTAAATTCGAGTTTTATTAAATATTAAATTATAATATTAAATTAATTTCGTATTTCTTTTTATTTGTAGTGTAGAGAGAGGGTTATGGAGAAAATGAGAGAGAAAGATAATCATTAATTAGTAATATTAATTATATTTTCATAATCCTATTTATCCTTAGCTACCTATTAACTACTAATCTCCATTAACTATCTAATCCACTATCAGCCAATAAGAAAGTTTTAAGATTCTTCTTAAAGAATTAGGCTTAAGGACTAGAACTTAGGCCGATCGCGGGGACCGTTGTTCGCCTCTCTCATCCTTATCTTCCTCCTCCTACTCCTTCTGCCTCTCTCACCCTCTCTTCTGCCATGGCTCTGCTTTCGCCAAGAAATGACACTTTGTCGTCAGCACAAACATTAGATCATCATCCGCTCAATGACTTCACTTCAACCGATCCCTCGATTTCCTCATTTAGCTAAACTTTGAAATCAAAGGGGTTCCATCTCCTGCCCCTCCTTGTTCCCACGAGATATCGGATTGGGTGGGAGCTACTGGTAACCGCACCTATTGACCAAGTACAGATCTCCCCCGGACTCCACCAGATTCTTCTGCCCACCGCCGTGGAGGAACTGCGGGGGTTAGTAGAGTTCGACGAATCAATCAGAGACACTTCCTTAATCGGTCAAGTCGTCGCAATCCAAGTTTCTGCCGTCTAAGAAAGTCTGGTCCTTGTCTCCGTTTCTCCAGTAGCCAATGTTTCCTTCGTGGAAAATGGCTATGACGGTAACTGTTGATGTTGGGGTGGGGAGGATGCCATCGAGGTAGAGGGGGGAAAGAGAAGGACTTTTTAAATCTCGAAGGATGGGCATCAGAATTGGTGTTTGAGGCGGAATGAGGTGCTCAATTGGATGGGGCGAAAGTTCAATCAGAGAGTAGCGGAGATTGAGGTTGGAGATTGGGTTTAGTAGCTGTAGCTTACTTCGGGTGGATTCTTCCATCTTGATCAGCCAACAGTTGTTTGCTTGAGGCAGCGATGGCACCTCATCGGTGGCGATGGAGGTTGAATCACCATTAGGAATCAGAGGCTGAAACTCCACACAACACATGGTGAAGGAAGCGAGGACGTCGTAGCCGCTGCTGGGGTCGGGTTAAGATGATCTGGTCGAGGGTTAGGGTTTGTATTGGGTTGGGTAGGTTGGCATGACGGGTTGGGTTGTGATGATGTGGTGGGTTAGGTTTAGTATTTTTTGGATTTAATTAGGCTGAGTAGGCGATTCTGTTTGCCACGTTAGCACTTAACGGACTCCACTAACAGAGTTGGACGGAGATTAACGAAGAGTTACCAAACATGGACCGTTTTACTAATTCGAGTGACCAACATTGGAATTAAATATTTCTAGTGACTAAACTTGATACTTTTTAGTAATCACTGTGACCAAACATGAAATTTACCATTTTTGGGGCATACCCATACCCAACTTGTTAATTTGGGTCTAAATTAGACCCATTACATTCCGATACCCAAAAAATTAGATATTCAACTCTCATATGATTTTTCTCTTTTTCTTTGTTCCTAAACAAATATAAATGTGGAAACACCAATATTAAAGGTGTGAATTGGCTAAAGGTGAATAGTGAGATGGTCAATATTATTTTTTTCGTGTATATAATTATATGCACCCAAATAGACCAATTTCAGTCGGACCCAAATTACACTCAATCCAAATCCAAAATTATTGAGAGTGAATATGAGTATATTTGAGTCAACCCCAATACCCATATTAGTAATGACAATTGGGTCCAATTACCCAATGAATCGACCCATTGTCATCCCTTATTAAAATACCCTTAATAAATTATGTTACAATGTTAATAAAAGTAAACTAAGAGATGTTAGCATCATATTCGCTCCCAAAAATCTTGTTTGCTTCTTTGCTTTGCCCGGTTTCTTGGGAATAATTATGATAAAGAAAGAACAATTTTATATAATTAATGATAATTTTATTTCTAAGTTAATGTATTATATATATAATATTGTCTTTTATGTTATAGCGAAAGAACAATTTTATCAACGATTTTATAGCGGTTAAACAATTGGACTTTGTTATGGTGACATGCATGTCACCGTAACTTGCACTTTTAGGTCGACCTCATATAGGATTAGGTCGACCTAATCTGTACTTTTAGTTCGACCTTATATAGGATTAGGTCGACCTAATATGTCGTTTAAGTTTTGTGAGGTTCAACGACGCGGTTGACCTTTTATAGCAAATGGTCGACCTCTTTGGGAAGCGAACAAAATGAAAGGTGACCAAAATACCTCATAGGCCGACCATTTTGATTAACTGAGGTCGAGCGCATAAGTACAAGGTCGACCGCGTGCACACCGTATCCGTATTGGATAAGGATTCCAATACCAGAAAGGTAACCCTAACTTATCTACCACTTAATTCGACCCATTCTCGTCCTAAATATCTATAAATACGAATATATGTCACCTTCACCGAAACTGTGAATTAGGTTTTTTTACGGTTAGAGCTTTTGTGAAGAAGATCCTTTGCGGTTGCTATCGCAACCGTCCCTCCGGGGGTCCGTCGGGGTCGTCGCGTTGCCTTTTTTTTTTTAGTCGCCATCGATCTTACTTGGAGTGGATCGAACACTCTTTGAATCGGCTCTAACCTTAGGTTTAGAACCGATATATGGTCTGCGGTTAAGAGATTCCGGTTCGAGAGTGCGGTTACGTGTGGGGAAGTGAAATCACGCCCCACAACGCCCTAAATCGGTACTACTTAAGTCGATAAATTTTTATACGAGTTGGGTGTATTTTTAGTAATAATTTTGGATTTTTTGGATCCCACTGGATCATTACTATATTGTTATCTCGTTAGGTATAATTGAGCTAGACGTCCATTAACGATTAATTTATTATCAGGTATTTTAAGTATTTTTAGGGCCTTACTGGACCACTAATGAATTTAAATCGTAATAGTTATAATTTAATAATACGCCTACTGACGTAAAAATTGAATATAAAATTAATTAGTTGGTTGGACTCTAACCTTATCAGTTGCCTACGTACCTGTTAGACGGGATCAAAGTACTCGTAGTTCGTTTGGACTTTGATAATTTTAAATAAAATTATTACCACGTTCCGCTGATCGTGGTTTTCGTATCAAAATTTATTGTTAATAAAATTTAAGTTGATATTATGAAATTATGAAAAGATAATATAAGGATTTCAGTTATTAAGAGGAGATTTTTTTTTTCCAAGGCAAGCCCAAAGGGCATGGGACAAAAACTCGACACAATTACAAGACTGACTCAAAATAAATACGTTAGTCCGTATGCAATCAGACTACGATGAAAGAGCCTGTTAAGCCACTACTTGGGTCGCTCTGAAGAAGCTCCGAGGAGCAAAGACACGACACTGATGGGGAAATAAAACAAAAACACAAACCCAACATCTCCACGATAGTTCCGCCAGCGAGTGTAATTTCTTTCAACGGAGTATGCCGGATGATCGGTATCGAGTTGCAACAAAAATCCACAACAAAGAAAATAAAGGGACATTAGCAATCTTCGACGGAGAAAGCTTAATTATTCTCATAAATTTGTATAAACGAATAAGACTAAACTATCACCTGATAGATTGATGAAACTTCCTTCAATTAATTTCATACCATATGAGCACCTGAAAATAACCAACCAACAATGCACGACTATGGTGCTAGAAATCTCTGTCTAAAGAGATAAAAGTCTACCGATGAGACATAATCGGGATTACCAAATATACCACACCAATAATGTGATGTAGTCACCAATATGAACTAAAAGAGGGAAATTAAGAGCAAGGTAATTACACTGATGGTAGTATTAATTTGACAAGTAATTAAATCAAACAAAAACTATTCCAATAGCATAAATAACGAAAATCTGAAATTCAAACAGGGAAGAAAAGGAAAAGAATAGCCATAGACACTACCGAGACAGTTAAGGCCATTTTAAATTATAGAAATTAGCAAGCTAAGTAAATAAGAGACTTGATAGCAATTAAACTCCGCCAATAAGGACAACTGAAGCAACTTGTAACACCCTAATCCGGTCGGGTACTACTTTTACCAAAATACCCTTAATAAATCGTGAAATAAAATAAAAACTGAAAATACTTAGAAAAAATAGCGGAAATTTTTCATAAATAACTTTAATAAATACTGAAAACAACTACCATTACTTAAACACAAAGCCTGACACTTGGGCAAACTCAAACCTTAAAATCTCAAAATGATCTCCAGTCTATACTCATAGTCATAAACTGAAACAACTAAAAAGTCTCTAATGCTACTACTTCTTGAAAGCCTTGACCAAACATCCTCAGTAGCGCTTGTACTACCCTCCTCTAGCTGGTTGCCCTCAAACTGCTCCTCTCGAACTCGCTTGACTTAAATACTTGACTGACACAGGGATCCCTCACTAGCTAGTCCGGTTGCCAACTCATACGTATGAGAAGTCATCGAAGCTTTCCTTAAACTTATCGTGGAAGGCTCTTCTTCCACAACTCTCAAGAGCATAACTGCTGCTCATCTTAAAAATCTCAAGAGCATAACTGTTGCTTCGTCTCAAAGATCTCAAGAGCATAACTGCTGCTCTATCTGAAAATCTCAAATGGCAACGGACTAACGCTAGTGACTAAAACACTTACAACGACTTCACCTTCTTGAAGGTGAGTTACTTCTTAAAAAGAACTTGTTTCTTTAACTTTAACAATAACTTATACTCGTAAAATTTCAAAGTAAATAATAAACATTCACTTCAAGTCATAATTCAAACAAGGCACATATTATTTAGGTCGTAAGGCGTAGAATTTACCCCCTTACACTCACCTTATTATTCAGGTCGACTTGGCTTGAGCTAACCACCCTCCAACTGTGATCGCTTTACCATAGTCTTACTTGAAATTTGCAAAGTCCCCACAGTCTCTAATCTCCATCTCATCCATGCAAGTACGAATTGAACAACATCCCCAAAAAGTCACCTAACTACCCATTTGCAGATGGGTTACACTTCACCTTCCATATGCGAGCATGCCACTATACCAAGCATCCAAATATCCTTCCACGTGGAATCCCTCTATGCAAGTAGGCTACTGCTCCCTCCAAACTCCTTCGCTGTCTCAATCCCCCTTTGGCAACCGATTTTGTCCAATGCTTGTTGTTGGTGGAGGATATCAGTAGCTCCCACTCCAATCCAAGCTTCCCCAGGCCATTTAATTCCCAAAAGGAATCCAACATAGGTGCGTTCCTATTAAAATCAAGGCAAATAGAACTACATACTCGCCCCTCGCGAGCTTGTCCGAGTTGGGCCCCCTACAAGGAACCATGGTTTCCGATCGCTCCCTTTTCTCTGCTGTTCTACGACGACGAGAAGAAGGGTTTCTTGTGGCTGCTACCCCATCGTTAGCGCCTAGCAGCTTCACAGCATGCCAACAGTTGAAGTTCTTGGAGATCGCTCAGGCAGTAAGAGAATCAGCTAGAGAAGCCTGGTGATGCAACGGGTGGCTCAGGGGCGTATAAGTTCTCTGGCGATCCATTACGGGCAGGTTTTGTGCGGCCGCTCTCTCTCTCTCTCTCTTTCTCTCCTTCGTGGCCATAGCGGTAGTGTAGGCGGCGGACTGCTGCTCTTTTGCTTTATATATTTATATATATAGCTAAGGAGGGCACAGTTACTCCAAGGGGTAGGGTTTAATTAGTTCAAAGGGTATTTTGGGAATTTCATGATTAATTGGATAACGGGTGAGTTTGATCTTATAATTAGTTAACGTCCGTAATTTCCTCAGTTTATTTTCGAAACTCCACACCATTTGAACTGAGAGTTCAAATTTTTAGTCCTTATCGATATTACGGTGGAATTTGACAATTGTTGACCAAGGGCAACTCATTCCTCTGTCATCACCATCCTTGTACCTCCTTGCCTCAAAAATTTTATTCTTGCTATATGAACTTCAATGGTATCCTTCGGTTGTCTCGTACAGTTTACTAATACTTCTTATATTTTCTCTTGACCATAACAAGTACTCTCACCTAATTCTGTAGCACCGAGTAGTTTTGAGTGACTCATTGCGCTTTTAAATTCACAACTTGGCCCGGGACGCGATGGGACAAAATTTCGACTGAATTTATTGGTCCAACCCATTCAGTACTTGTTGTTGAACCTAACTAGAA